GGTCGCGTGTGAAGGTGCCATCGATGCCCAGCGCACCCTTGATCGAGTATTCGATCTTGGCCTTGACGGCGCTCTCCCCTCGTTGTCGTAGCATCCCGGCAGACCCATGGGCAGTTGGTACTGGAACGGGTAGACGTACTGGCCTGGTGAAATGTGGTGTTCGACGTTGAACAACACGAGCTACAAGTGGCACATCAGATTTCTAGTTTTTCTACTCCATGACGCACCTTTTGATTGAAAATTTTGTGGCGTTCGCTCAATTTCAGTTCGACAGCCTTTTCATGGCCGTGGTCGTCAGTCCTGCTCTCGTGCTCGGTCCACGACACCTTTTCCTTGCCTTTGACAATGACGATAATCTCTACAGGACGAAGTCAGCGCGATGCGAGCGTGCCCTCAGTACCGTTGCAGTCGATGGGCTCGAGCACGTCGACTTGGAGAGAGCCCGTGATGAGTTCGCCCGAAATGTAATGCGGCTTGTCGACGCTTACGCGGATCGTGCCTTTGCCATGGAGGCCAAAGAGCTGCCCGAGAAAGCCCATGAACTCAATTTTAAAGTGTCTGTTTTTTCTGTTTGAAAAGCAAAATGTTCTTTGAGGACGTTGCAACCTGTCACGATTCGGGTGCCAACGATCGTTCGATGTTCCGTTCCTGGCACTGTTCTGATCGAGAGATTCGCCTCATATCGTAATATATGTACAGTGTACGTGTGAACGCCGGTGCGAAAGCGTTCTCGTGCGGGTAGACTTTTGAAGCACACACGGTCCGAAGACACATAGGGTTCATTCAAGTGCCAAGATTCGAGCGATACGATGCGGAAGGACGGCTAGCCCAAAAGCCAACAACAATGGTAGCGCTTGGCGGCCATGGATTTTCTCTCCCAAAATCGCAGACAAGTTGTCTGTAGTAAAGATCACGCCCTCCGCGCCACATGTTGCCCTCGCAATGCGATGTGGTTGACGAGCCTTGCAACAAGTACCGTGGAGTACAATAATAGAGTGCCACGTCATCACATTAACAAGAAAACAATTCGAGTCGTTCGTTTTTGTGGCTTGGCCACGCGGCCTGACAACGTGTTTGCGCTAACGGGCGAGCGGGCCGGCGACGAGGGTCAGTGGGATCCTTAGATGGGCATCGGGGCACCACGGAATGGAGCACTTGAGTTCAATAAAGTACCGGCACGAGAGGTGGTCGCCTTCCGTTGTCGGCCACAACGAACTACTCGCGAGTCGGATCGTCTGTACAAACGACGCTTGGTCACTGGCGTTAACGCCCGACATCTTTGTGCTGGAGAAGACTTCGCAATCCACGTGCTCCCGACCGCATGCGCGAAGTGTCACCGAGCGCACGAGCTTGCAAGACACGTACTTGATGGGCGTTGACGCCGATGTGTTGGTCACGCTCGTTTCGATCTATGCGATGGAGTTGGCGACAACCATGCAGAAGTATATATGCACGTACCATGACCGAGTCGCCAAGAAACGACGCATTGTTGTGGACGACGACGCGGATATGGCAGGTGCCCTTGTGGAAGAGCCCCAGCGTGCGCACGGTCTTGGTCGTCTCAGCCATCGCGGGACCAATGGGTCCGCCAAACGGACGGTAGATGCGGACTGCGTACGTATGTTTGAGATCCCGCGCAAAGGCGCCAGCCGTCGAGACGATGCCTTGCAGCGAGTACGCGATGGTTGCCGTGGCGCCATGGCTGCCATTGTCGTAGGACCCCGGAAGATTGGACGGCAGCGGGTACTGGAACGGAAACGTGTACTGCCCTGGCGAAAGCTCGTGCGTCGAATTGTCCAAAATGAGCTAGTTAGCGAGAGGTTCTGCCTCAGTGATCGTCATTGAAATACTGGGGGCGACGTACCCGGCGCTGAAAGAACTTGTTGTACTCATTGTAGTAGTGCCGATGATCCGTGTCCTGCTGGAGATTTCGCCACTCGACGTTTTCTTCGCCAACGAGAAGAATGGCAATTTCTGCACATTTGTTAATGTCAACTAGACCAGTTGTGAAAATGAGGTTACTGTACCTGTGCACTGCAACGGTTCTGCAAGCACCACACAAAGGGCGCCGACAATGACGTCGCCTGCCATGTAGTATGGGTTCTCGACGGCAAGCGTGAGCGACCCTTTGCTCGTCGAGCCGAAAAACTGTCCGATGACACCCATCGTAGGCAAGGACTGTTGCGTTTGGAGGAAATGAAGGAATGGCGTTGGTTCAGACAGCGTACGTACATAGCGGTGCCCACCAGCATCCATATCTTATTTCTGAATCCAGCATTGTCTTTGCTATAGAAAGTCCTCGATTCGGTGCGACGTGGACATGGCGCACGACGTCGTCCATGTCAAAAATAACATCCGGTTGATCAAATCCAGTCTGGACCTTAAATCCACTCAAGAAAGCCACAATTCCAGAGTGCTCAAGTGCTGCGTCGCACGCATGCGATAGAGCCTCTGCGCAACTCTATAAAAAACAGCGATGCAATGAGAAATTCATACACGACAGCATCCCATTGCGTATGGCGACTACCCCTTAAATGGTGGGACTATAACACACGTGTGCCTGTTAAATCGAAGAAAGAGAAGAGAAGAAGGAGGAAGTTCGATATGACGTGGCGATCTTGTGCAAGCGGTACTATGCAAGCGGAGCTGTGCGCGCGGCAATTGTGCAAAATGGCATTCAG